CATCTGTCTACAAGCCTCTAAGAATACATAATTTTCATAAAGGTCGGGACAGAGTCCCGCCATGCCAAACAATACACGTCTGAATCATACTGACCAAATAAGCAACTTCGAAGCAAATGAAGCGCACCGACATCTTCCATTGAGCTGATAGCCTACTTGGAGGGCTCTCGACCTGTTTATCGGGACCTGCGGGCATGAAACGTAGCGCCCCCAGTCGCTTCTGCCTTACAGCTTCATGACATCAGTGATGCTTGTTCCTGGCATCTTCTAATTCTAAATATCACTGAAACCCCTTGAAGTTGATGAGATCCTTCTAGCCAAATAATCTGCTATCCTTTCAACTGAAATTGCAGAAAATCAACCTTAGAGGTATCTCCTTTTTGTCCTACCTGCGACCATTTAGCAGCTAACAGGGGCGGAGCTAGTCCATCGAGTACGGGTTCGGCCGAACCCAGTCGCTTTGGTCCAATTCATGTATTTGTTTTAAAAAAATCTATTGAATATGTATAAATTATTAATGTAGAACCCAGTAACTTAAAAGGATTAGAATCCCGAACCCATAAACTTCAAATCCTGGCTCCGCCTCTGGCAGCTAAAGTTAGCGTTTGTACTTGTCATGTGAAGATTGAGTTTGAACATTTTAAGACTTTTGTTATGTGCTGGACTACTTTATTTTATTTTTGAGTTCTTTCCTTGCATTTGTTACTCCTTATACTGTTGGACATTACGGGCATCCCCATTTCAAGACTGCTGATGGTATAGTGTATATCATATGTTGGCAATGATCCATTGTTTTGAGTATGTGTTGCTAAACGTAGTACAAGAGGTAATTTTGCTTCTTCTTCTATAAAAGAAAGGTTCATATTGCTTTAAACAGTTGAGGTCCATATTGCTTTAAACAGTTAATTTCATATTGTTTCTTTTTGTCAGAGTGATTTGGAGAACATGGCTTCTAAAATGCCCGGCTGCCACAGAGGAGGCTTTGCACTCTACAAATTAATGGTACAAGGTGCAAATAATAACTAATATCTTCATTGCGTTGATTGAGGATGTTGTATCCTCTTCATCTCTTGTATGCCTGATTTATACATGTTCGTCTTGCATTCCTTGATGTGCAACCCGATGCTTTCATAGGTCAAAAGAAAACTTTCCATGTAAATGAGCTCACCTGCAGATATGCGAGTTAGTCATATTGAATGGCAAGTTTGCTTCTTTACTTTACTATGTATTGAGCTGTATCAGTTGTATTTTGTTACTTCTGGATATATTGGAAAATTGGCTTGCATCCTTATAGCTTGTTGACCCCCCACCCTACCACATACACACGGGGATGATATTGGCTGTATCTCCAGTACGAAATATAAATTTGTGTCAGGTAGACCTATTAAGTGAGGTAAAGTGCCTTCTATTGAATGCTTCTTTTATTTCCAGCTCAAAGCCCTGGACGTGGATAATTCCAGTGGATAATTCCAGCTAGTTCACCATAGCAGCAGGAGCCTAGGAGGTCACCTGTTTGAGTCGAATACATCCTCTTGCAGAAATGCTGGGTAAGGCTGCATATAATAAACTTTTGTGGTCCGGCCTTTTCCAGGATCCTGCACATAGCGGGAGCTTAGTGCACTGGATTGCCCTTTCGCGGGAGCTTAGTGCACTGGGTTGCCCTTTCGCTTCACCCAAAAAGCTTTGTGATCTATGCTTTTGATTCTACTAAAGATTAAATATCATGGACTTTTACGGACATTCTTCACTACCATTTACACCAAATCAGCGTCCAACATTACAATTTTCTTTATTCCTCTTTGTTTTTCATGATTAACTGTGTTTTCTTTGTAGTACAAGTACAACTACTAATAAGTGAAAGTAATCACCTCAAGTCCTCAAACTAATTACGTTTAACTCAAACTTGGATAAGAATTGAACTACTCCTGTTTAGCCACTACTATTCAATTACGTCAATCAAAGTATTAGACTAAGAGGCCTGTTCGTTTAAGATTTTCAGCCATCCATATATCATTTGTAACGACCCAATCGGTCATTTTGCTTTCTAGATCCCCGTTCCCTTAATGGAGACTTTCCGTATATGCTTTTACTGTTTTATGAATTGCGGGGATGGTTGGTTTAGGTTTGAAAGGGTTCGGGTGGAAATCGGAACACTTAGTTCCTTAATAGTAACCTATGTTGGCCAAGTTTGACTTGAGTCAACGTTTTGAGTAAATGATTTCGGAACCGAAATTTGATGGTTCCAATAGGTTCATATGATGATTTTGGACTTGGGTGTATAGCTAGAATCGAATTCGGAGGTTCGTAGGTGGATTTGTGTTATTTTGCCGAAAGATGGCAATTTAAAGGCTTAGAAATTTGATAAGTTTGACTGCATGTTGACTTCATAGCTATCGTGTTTGAATTTCTGTTTCGGGACTTGGAATAGTTCCGTTTTGTCATTTGGAACTTGTCCGTAAAGTTTGGCGTCATTTCGAGTTGATTTGATAGGAATCAGACGCGCGGTTGTGTTTTTAGAAGCTCCTGCGTTTCATATTGATTTCATGTGTTTGGAGGTTCGATTCATGGTTTCAGATGTTATTTTGATGATTTGATTGCACGAGCGAGTTCATGTTATGTTTTTAGACTTGAATTGATGTTTGGTTTGGAGCCCCGAAAGCTCGGATGAGTTTTGAACAAGTTCTGGAATGGTTTTGAACAAAAGTCTGAGTGTTGGTGCTGCTGGTGCTCAAATATCGCAATTGCGAGCACCAGCATTGCAATTGCGAAGGTGACAATGTGGCTAAGTTATCGCAATTGCGAAATACCCTTCGCAATTGTGAAGCCTGCCATATTTTGCCTTGGTTCGCAACTGCGAACATTTGTTCGCATTTGCCAAACTCTCAGCTTCGCAATTGCGAAGCCTTTTCTCGCAAATGCGAGGTTCCTTAAGGCTGCCAGGATTCGCAAATGCGATCCCTGTCTGCAATTACAAGGGTTCGCAAATGCACTGCTACTGGTAAAAGGGCTAGGAGATGGAATTTTGAAGACATTCTCTCATTTTTTGAACCCTAGATTCGGTATGAGACGATTTTGAAGAGGGATTTTCATTTACAATCTTTGGGTAAGTTATTTTGTTCAATTTCCAACTATTTTACATAGTTTTTGAGAAACTTTGGCTATGTTTTGAGATTATGAGAATTTGAATGTTGAGAGTCGATTTGAACTCGAATTTTGAAACAAAACATATGTATGGGCTTGTGAGGTTATGAGTAACATTTATTTACAAAAATTTCTGGAATTCGGGCATGCGGGTCCGGGGTGAATTTTAGGAATCTTCCAAATTGGGTTGGGTAATCACTCTAATAGTTAAATTATGAAGTTTTGAGCCCTTATTGATTAGCTTATACGATTTTGATTAGCTTCGGATTGCTCGCCTTCATTTGGGTAATTGTAGTGAGGTTAAAGAGCCGGTATGTGGACTCGAAAATGAGGTAAGTCTCTTGCCTAATCTTGTAAGAGGGAATTAACCCCATAGGTATTTAAATTTGTTATTTGCTACTAATTGTGGGTGCTACGTACGCATGAAGTGATGAGAGCGTGTGCGTAGCTAAAAATTCATGTTATGTCTGGGTAGACATAAACCTCTATCATGCTATTGGTTGCACTATTTGAACTCAATTTGCTAATTTAATTATTTGAAATAATAATGTAAAATTTGGTTAAAGATGATGTTAAATCGAGCTTCATTACTTAGGGACTTGGCAGAAATGTTTAGTCATGGATGGAAATTCATATTCTTTTATGGGCTTACCTTAAAGTTTTAAATGCATAATTCGTACTCCGAAGAGTTTTATTCCTGTGGATGGGGCCGAACACCTCGGCAATATATATATATATATACACAGACACACACACGACCTTGGTAGTATATATACACGATATTATGGATGTGGTCGTACGACCACGACATAACTCGTGCGTGTTGTCACTCGGAGTCCGATTATACTTGATATGTCTTTCATGATTTGAGGATTTATAAAATACCTGTTGAGCCCTTACTTACTGATATTAGCACGTGATATTGAGGACTTTTAGTTGTTATTTTATTAAAGGATTATTTAATTATTGCCTTTTATTCCATTGTTGATGTTGTATTTTATGCCTATTAAATATTCTGGTACATTATGTATATTGCCTACTAGTAAGTGTGCTTCTTCAAGGTTAGACTAGATACTTACTGGGTACACGTTGTTTACGTGCTCACACTACACTTCTGCATATATTATGCAGGTTCTGAGATAGGTGCATCGGGAGTTTGTCCGGGCACGCATCCGTATTACCCGGAGGCTTAGTGGCTGCTCCGTTTTGCAGCACCTGGAGCCTTCTCTCCTTATGTTTTTATCATTTCTATTTATTTTGTTCCATACAGCAGTTCTTTGAGAGTTTTGTATATTCTACTACATATTCCTGCACTTGTGACATCGGATTTTGGGAGCTCTAGTAGACACTCATGGGTTTTGATTATATAATTTACTATCTTACTTTCCCGTTTAGTTTATGCTTTACACTACTCCACTCACTTACTATTTCTTTCTGTATTAAATAAGAATCACAGACTTTAAGAATATTAAAATGAGGAATTAAATTGACCGTTGGCTTACCTAGTGGCGACATTGGGTGCCATCGTGTCCTTTAGTGAAAATTGTGTCGTGACAAATTGGTATCAGAGCTTTATGTTTACATAGGTTTCACGAGTCATGAGCGTCCTGATAGAGTCTTGCGGATCAGTGCAGAGATGTTCGTACCTATCTTCGAGAGGTTATAGGGTGTTAAGATACTTCTCTTTCTTCAGCTCCTTTCGTGCAGTTGATATTGCGCTAAGTATCTTTCACTTATTCTCTCACAGATGGTGAGAACGCGCGCGCCAAATATATTTGGTGGAGGAGGAGATGCTCCCTATGTTGCTAGAGGCCGAGGCAGAGGCCAGGGGAGGGTTCCAATTCCTGCTCGAGGACGGAGACGTCCTAAAGGTTCTTTCATCATACCACCAACGGATCCAGTGGAGGATCCTGTCATTGAGGAGCAGGGAGAGGTGCATGCAGCTGAGCAAGCCCCCTAGATTTCATGTTCGTGCCGGGATTTAAGGAGGTCAAGGACTGTATGTTGCGGTTCATGGATTCTAGATGCACGTTGATTTATTTCCAGCGGACCCAGCCACATCTCAGGCGGGAGGGGGAGCACAAACCCCTATTGCTCAGGCTCTAGGGCACGCAACTACCATATATCATACCTAGGTGCATTACTTGTAGGCGGAGCCAAGCCAATGGCAGCGGCTGTACTAGATCCCAGACTAGATGCGATCGTCAAGCCGCATATACTGTTGGATAGATGGACCAGACGACATCCTCCTGCCTTTGGCGGTGAGCGATATAAGGACCCCCAGGATTTTATTGACCGTTGCAGAGACATGCTGCACAACATGAGGGTATTGGAGTCAACATGGTGGATTTCACCACATTTCAGTTGGAGGGAAGGGCCCGTAGATGGTGGCACTCCTATCTTCTTAGGAGAGACAGGCTGCACAACATGATCGGTCGTTTTACTCTCTAGATCTACATTCCCATATTTAAGACTTTTCGTATGTGCTTTTACTATTTTATAACTTGAGGGATTATTGGTTTAGGTTTGTAAGGATTCGGGTTGAAATCGGAACACTTAGTTCCCTAATAGTGGCATATGGTGGCTAAGTTTGACTTGAGTCAGCATCTTGCGTAAACGAATTCGAAACCGAAATTTGATAGTTCCAATAGGTTCGCATGATGATTTTGGACTTGGGCGTATGCCCAGAATCGAATTCGGAGGTCCGTAGGTAGATTTGTGTTTTGCAGAAAGTTGGCCATTTAAAGGCTTAGAATTTTGATAAGTTTGACCACAGGTTGACTTCATAGCTATCGTGTTTGGATTTCTGTTTCGGAACTTGGAATAGGTCTGTTTTGTCATTTGGAACTTGTCTACAAAGTTTGGCGTCATTCCAAGTTGATTTGATAGAAAGCTTTAGTGTCTTGAATATTTTATTTTATTAGTTATTGACTAGAGAGTGCTTACATCTTGGCCTTGATTTGGTGGTGGTGTTGCCGGAACTACTGTTTCTATTTCTGCCGGAGGTTGTGCTAATTTGAGAAGCTCTCTTAGCTTCTAAGTTTGGGCCTCACTGACGTAGTTGTCCTTTTATTAATTTTGACCTTAATTTTCATATGTTGGAATTATATTTCCTTCATCTCTATTATGAGTTTGTGACTGTCTATTG